ATCTTGGAATCTAGGGTTGGTTAAATTTGAGAGGAGAGGAGAGGAGAGAGTGAAAGAGATGATGAATTTGCACATTAAAAAAGAAAAGTAAGTTAGGAAAAGAGTTGGGATGTTTCTTTTCGTTGTTGGATATGTATTCTTTATTTTTCTTTTTTATTTCATTTATATTTCTATTCCATCTAAGTTTTGAATTATGAGTCAAACTAAGAATTATCCCTTTTTTCATGGATTATTATCTATGTAATTGTTCTCCATGATTGACAATCTTGAATGAATCAACGACAATCGTGCCACTTAGCAAATTTAAGGTAACGTTCTTTTCTATGAACTCAAATGTTATATTCAGTTTCTTATTTTTTTAATCTCTTTCTTTTGATTACTTTCCAATTAAGTTACCAAAATTTAAAATGCAAGAAGGTGATCAAGTTGAAATTGCAATGACTGAAAATCGATTCCTTTATTAAGCTAAGGGATTAACGTCATTCATTTATATTTAAGAATAAATATTAGTCACAAGCAATAATTTTACATCATTATTTTTTATCAGTTTTTATCTTTTGTTTTTAGTTTAAACATGCTAATTTATATGGGTTGTTAAATATTTAAACTGAAATATTTTTTCGTAAATTTTCAGTCAAAAAGCTATTAAAAGTATCATAAAAAGATGATAGAATCATGAATGATGTTTGATTAGTATTTTTTCTTTGTTGAAATATGACACTAATTAGCTATATCATAAAGAGGAGACTTCAATGCCGCGTCACTTCTCTTGAGACGAAGATTGTATAAATATACATAGAGAACTCTCTCTCTTACACACACACACTATATATATATAAAGAATATAAAGAGAGAGAGAGCCACCGAAAGAAAAAAAAAGAATAATACATATAAAGGGTGGCAAGAAAGTAACTAACAAGAGAGAAGATTTTTGGAAATCTACGTAATATAAGGAGGAGAAAAAAGGGTTTATTTGTCAGGTTTAAAGTGAAAAATAATGGAAGGAAAAAAAGAGATAAAAAACAGAAATAGTAGAAAGAAATTGTACCCTGAAACTTGAAAGAGGGAGAAGAGCAACAATTTACTGAAAGAATGAGAAAGGAAAGGAAAAAAGAGGAGAAAATAAGTAAAATTGAATATGCCTACCATTTGTTTTTCCTCTCAGATAATTAGAAGTTTTTTATTGCTACATGTTACGATTAGAACAGGAGGGAAAAAAAGGGATAGAGATACAATAGAAAGAAAAAAGAAATAAAGAAAAGAAAAAACGAAAAAGAAAAGGGCTAAGTGTTAGAAATTAGGAAATTTGAGACGAGATACATTCAACTTCAACTGAATTATATTCATTTTTTTATTTCTTATCCCCCCCCCCCACCCCACCCCCCTTAGTAATATCAGCCTCATGAAACATAAGTAATAATAATTCATACTAAATAACAATATAATAAGGATATCATGGAGTAAGAAGAGAAGGCGAATAACATTTCATAATTGCATCTTTAAGATTTCTAAATTAATATTTGTTCATTTTTCTGTTATTTTTTCTTTATATTCATAAATATTCAGTTGTTTTCATATTTAACCAGAAATATTTCTCATAGCATACGTTTTCTATCATAGGATTATAGGACCGCGCGAAGCGCGGGCATGTATACTAGTGTCACAATATAATAATGCTTGCTTTGTCATCATTGAAGGCATAAGATTTTAGAAAAGCAACTTCCCTAAAGAGATCAGTGGTTCGCATGTGGGAACATTGTAATTGCGAACAAGAGTTCGCTATTGCGATACGTGGCAGGGTAAAAGGTTGAAATTTCGGACTAAGCTTATTTTATACCATTTTTGATACCTACACTCCATAGAGGCGATTTTTGGAGATCAATTTCTTCTCAACTTCATAGGTTAGTAACTTTAACTTGTTTTCATTCAATTTTCATGAATTTCCACTATCAAATCAAAGATTCATAGAGTAAAAATTGGGAGTTTTGGGTAGAAATTAGAAATTTTATAAAATTGAGATTTAGACCTCAAATTGAGGTCGGATTTTGAAACAAATCACATATTAGGACAAGGAGATAAAAGGGTAAGTGGGATTTGGTCTTAATTTTAGATTTTGACCACTCGGGCCCATGTTGACTTTTTGTTGACTTTTTCAATCATGTTAGAGATCGAACCTTTTGTACGAGGGTAGTTTCTAAAGCTTATTTTGACTTGTTTGAACAATATTTGACTAGATTCGAGTGATTTGGATGCTTGTTCCAAAGAGAAAGGCATGTTGGATTAATGATCTTGTTTCGAAAAGAGGTGTCTTGGTTAATCTTGATTGAGGGAATTAGGGTGTAATTGAGTTTATACGTGATCTATGTGTTGGGGGCATCGTATATATAAGGTGACGAGTGTATATGCATGCTGGTAGAATTGGCTTTATTTGTGCCATGTTACTTTGTGCATTATATCTTCCATGGTTTAGATAGACTCTATAATTCTTTAATTTCTCGTATTTATGTTAATTCATATGTTGAGCTTATTAGGATAATGCACGGTGAGATCATTGAATTGTTGATTTGGTTGTTGGTGCAAGATTGTTGGTAAATTCTCATATGACGAATTATGTTCAAATACTACTATTGATGTTGATTGTGCTTCCCACCTTGCTTGGTATTGTATTATATGTGATGTTTGATTAGGAAGAGCCAAATGCATGAAGGTTGTTACCGTGCTTGAGGTATAGTGATTGTGCACAAAGGGTATTTCTCTGCCTTATTCATACATCAATATCATCGCATGAAGGGTATTTTCGTGCTTGAGAGAAAGTGGGGATATGCACGAAAGGGTATTTTCGCACTTGCTATCATATTATGATGTGAGGATAAAAGTAAAAGCACGAAGGGTAATACCGTACCATTTGTTGGTTTCATTGATCCTTACTTTATTTTTCAGATTGAGAACTTGGTTTTGTGGTTTCATAATTTACTTTTGAAAAGTTGTTCAGAGTTACTGTAAAGGCATGGGTTGTGGCTTACTCAGTAATACCTTCATTTACTTTCCCTTTTTTTTCCTTTACTTATGTAATTGTGGTCTTCCTCACATTTTATTATCCTGCTTTACACTTGGTACTTTACTTATCATCTCGTATTACTAGATATATAACTGTACATGTATTTTTGTAGGTGTCTTGTCTAAGCCTCGTCACTACCTCGTCGGGGTTAAGCTCGATACTTACAGAGTTATTGGGTCAGTTGCACTCATACTACACTTGTGCAATTCTTGTGCAGACTCAGACATTGGTACCAACATAGTCCCTGGAGGTTCTTAGGGGATGCCACATAGACAAGTCGAGGTAGAGTTGCATTCCATTCGATTGCCTTAGATTCATCTTCCATTTCTTTTTTACTATTCTACTTTTCAAACAGTATTGTATTTTTTTCAAGGCTATGTATTTAGCAAACTCTAGAAGCTCATGTACTTGTGACCCCACATCTTGGGATGGTTGAATGTTAGTGTTGATCTTAGACTTATCATTTATACTTCTGAGTTGCTTTTACACCATGTTATTATCTTGCTATTAGTCGTTAATTGTAGTTCTTTTCTATTTTCTGTTGTGTGTTGGGTGCCTAGCAAGTGGTATTAGGTGCCATTACGACCCCAATTGGTTGGGATTTTGGGTCATGACTATAACATTATAAGTTTTTAGTTATGTTTTCTTCATTCTCTTTAATGAATAACCATTGACCGCAATTAAAAAGTTTTGAAACTTTGAATTCGAAAATTGAATTTTGTGAATTGGGTAATATTGCAAATCATTGGGAATATCCTCTGGAGTTTATATCTCAATATTGAGAGAATTGGTGAAGATTCGAAGTGATCTTGGTTAAAATTTCAGATTGAAAATCGAAGAAAAATATATAAACATATTGTATATATTTTGTATGTCGGGGTAGAAACAACATATAAAATATACAATAAACACAAATGTATACAAGTTGTATATAAATTGTATGTGAATTGTAGTTTTTACTAGACTTTGTAGGAAAAATTTGTATTCAAGTTATAGATAAATTACATATAAATGGTAGATTTTAAGCGAATTTGTATATATTTTGTGAAATTTTTTTAGTTACTTTCCGTAAATAGTAAAATATAGATTAAAAAGGTAAATAAGTTTGAAATTTCGTATATAGGAAAAAGTCCCTTTTAATAAATCTTATTGGGTTATCGGTTAAACCATTAATAAAATTAGATAAATCGAGACACAAACCAAAACCTAATAATCAAATAACATTAAATTGTTACCGAAATGGGAGAAATTAAAAAATAGTCAGATTTACAAGTGGTCATTCAAAAATAGCCACATTTCAAAAGTAATCAAAATTTAGCCACTTTTCATATAAAGATAAATTTGAACAAAAACACTGTTCAAAATCCGAAAAATACTCCAGCATAATATATTGGAGTTCCAGCATAAGTATACTGGAACTCCATCATATTATAATGGAGTTCCAACATAAGTATATTGGAACTCCAGCATAATATACTGAAGTTCCAGTATAATATACCGATCCAGTATAATATGCTGGAAATTCATATACAGGTGCTCCAATCTCTAGTATATTATGCTGGAACTTTCCGCGTGTTGGAGTTCCAGCATAATATGCTGGAAGTTCATATACAGGTGCACCGATCTTCAGTATATTATGCTGGATCGGTCCCTATTACAGCAAACTAGTGGCTATTTTTCAATGACTTTACAAATACTGACTATTTATAAATGACCAGTCCGAAAACTAGTTAGCCCCAAATAATCCAATACTGATAACCCAATTACATTTTTCAGTTCGGGCTATCAATTTTACCTGATAGAGCCCAACATAGGCATTTCACAATGCCTTAAAAAATGAAAACATCTTAAACAGAAAAAGGTTTAAAAAATGGAGAATTAGACGACTAATGAGAGCGTTGAGAAAATTAGACAAAGACAACTAAGAGGGCTGAATTAAAAAACACGACCAAGAGCGTTGACAAAATAGAAAAAGACGACTAAACCGTCGCTAAATTTCCAGCTGATTCCAAATGGCATACATCACTTATATAAGTTTCCGTTTGTTTCAGTTCGTTGTAGTTCGTTTCTGCATCTTCCGTATCTTCGCTATGTATAATTTGTGCTGTTTTGCCTCTGGTAATTATTCTTTATTCTTAATTTCTTGTGTTATTGATTTCACTCTAATTAAGACAGAGGGACTATTATATTAAATAAATTTTGTTCTAACATTACACGCATTTACTATTTTCGCAATCTTCTCCCCCTTGCCTCTTGTACTTTCGGATATTTGAGATGGAATTTTGAGTTTGGATAACTGAAATTATGAATTATTAGCATTTTTTATTTTTAAAGTTTTATTCTGTTACTTGGAATTCCTCATTAAAAGTTATTAACAATATGCAGTGTTGTTGAAAACCATCGGTTCGTGAGGCAGTGGATCTACAATTTGTGATCGCTTGAAGTAAGTAAGTTTCCCTTTGTATCTTAAAAAATTAATCAGTTTCAGACAATTTTCGTTGACATTAGATTGAATGGACCTGTATTGTTAAATTTTATTGTATTCACTTAAATTGGTAAATTTAATCTCTAACTTTCCCTTTGTCTGGTAGATTATAGTTTTCGGTTGAGAGAGCAACTGCTAAGCTAAGCTAACCTGCTTTGACACGGCAGTTTAGGTGCGGGTGCACCCGTATCGACACGATACTAGTATGAGTGTAGGTATGAGATCCGTACCAGATCTGGTCAAATAATTTTGGCTATTTTGACCTCGACGGAAGGAAAAATTCGAGGCAAGATGCAATTTGGTTCTCGAAATCAGAACCAAAATTAGGGCTAAATTTGAAAAAAATAACATACCTTATCTAGGAGATTAATACTTATCTACAACTTGAGAATAAAAAAGAAATCCACACTTTACAATCTATACGTAAGTATTCCACAAAATTTCTCATAATTTATAGATATTTTTATTTTTAAAAATTATTTTTAACCTGATCCCCGCACCCGTATCTGTACTAGGATCCATATCCCGAATCTTGGAATTTATATTTCGAAGGATCCGACATCTAGATCCACACCCGTGTCGGACACTCGCACCGATATTAGAGCAACTTAACTACTAAGAATAGTTGATAGGTTCTTAGAGTAATGACCAGATTTTAAGACATGCATGTTCTAGAGGCACATTTACTTTATGTAACGCTCCCTTATGTGTGAGCCTGATTCTTTTATTATAGGTCAAACATGTGAAAATAGTTTTTGCTTTTAGGTGGCGGTGAGATTTGAACATAGGACCTCTACCTACTTTAATACTATATCGAAGTGTGACTATCTTATCTAAAAGTTCAAGTTGTGTGAGAGCACATTTATTTACTTAATTGTCTCTTCAATAGCATGGTGAATTCTGATATTTTTATCTATCCTAAAAAATTGGCTGACCTTTCTTCTGCGGTGTCAAATTCACTTGGTGTAGAGCCAAGAAGTACAGATCTAAGTCAAGAATTGTTTATGTTCTTAATTCATTGGGCCGCCCTAGATAAAATGTTATAAGACATAAAGAGTATGGAAGACGGAGATAAGTATTAAGCACATTATATTACGAGAGACTCCTATCATACATAACATCACAAAGTGATCATTATGGGTAGTGATAGAGAATTCTAGATTTACTCCTTCTGAATATACTCTCTCACACACTTTGAACTTGGTCATCTTGCAAAAAAAATGCACCTAGATAATACAAAACACGTGGATAAACATTGGCCTAAGAAGATGGAATTATTGGGAATCAACCCCCCACAGAAAATAATATTTATGGTAATAACAACAGAACAATATTGTAGTATCTAGATACGGTAATCAACAAGAATAAAGAACAACAAGGACACAAATATTTTAACGTGGAAAACCCTTCTAAATAAGGAAGAAAACCACGTTCCGAGAGGAGCAAAATAATCCACTATAATGAGAAATTTTACATTCTGTAGTCTCGAGTAAATACTCCAGGAACCACTACACACTCAAAAGAAAAAATCCTTTATTGAGATTCCCACCTTACTACCGTTCACTCTCTATTTTTTTCCCACAGACTATTTCCTATCTCACTTTGTCTATGAGATTTCTTTTTCTGTGTGTTCGAATAATAAACCAAAGGCTCCTATTTATAGGAGTGTCTGCTACGAACTTAAACCAATCAGAATTGGTTTACCTACCATTTGCAATTGCAAATTGCATTTGCCAACTTGCTCTTCAAAAGCAAGTTGTCACCGCCCAAAACAAGATTTGGCCGGAACAAGTTTTGGTGTCTGATTTCTCTTTTTTATTTTCTTTTTCTATTTCTTTTATTTTTTGGGGCGGACCCCCATCAATCTCCCCCTCAAGACCCATTAACCTGAAGGAGGTTACACCGGACTTCTAGCTTGAGTACATGCCGATAAGTTCTTTGCATAATTCGAACTTGTCTCTTGGTACTACCTTGGTCAGCATATCTACAGGATCCTCACTCTTCAGGACTTGCAGATTCACTTTCTATCCTTTTCTTGGACCCAGTGATATCTCACATCGTTGTGTTTGGTCCTTGCATGGTACATGGAGTTCTTGCTCAAGTCTATTGCACTTTGACTGCCATAGTAGACAACATACTCCTTCTGATGCAAGTCAAACTCTTGAAGGAATCATTTCAACCATATCATCTCCTTGCCAGCTTCAATAGCGGCAATTTACTCTGTTTCAGTTGTAGAGAGTTCCATGCACTTCTGCAACCTTGATTGCCATAATATAGCCCCCATCTCAGGTACTTGAGTATCCACTTGACTGCTTCCCAGTGTTCTTTTCCAGGATTTTCAAGAAACCTGCTAACAACATCAGCTGCATGAGCAATATCAGGTCTGATGCATACCATTGCATATATCGGGCTTCCGACTGCTGAAGAATACGAAACTCTCGCCATATTCTCTTTTTCCTCATTTGTTGTATGACACATCTTCTTGATCAACTTCAGATGCCTAGCAAAAGGTGTGCTGACTGGCTTAACACTTTTCATGTTGAAGCATTCCAGTACACATTCAACGTACTTCTCCTGATACAGCCATAACTTTCTGCTTGTTCGGTCTCAAATTATCTTCATCCCCAGAATTTATTGTGCTGGGCCCAAGTCCTTCATATCAAATGACTTGGACAAGTCTCCCTTCAACTTTGCAATCAACTCTTTGTTTTGTCCTACATTAACATGTCATCCACATACAACAACAAAGAGTTAATTTGGCGAGAGTTGATTGCAAGGTAGACAATATGTCTTTATGTCTTTATGTGTATACACATGGATCAGAATATGTCTTTATGTAAGTTTGACTTTTCATGAATGAGTCAAACTTCTTGTTTACTGCCTTGGTATCTGCTTCAACCCATAAAGACTCTTATTCAATTTGCACACCATGTGTTTCTTTCCAGCTACTTCAAATCCTTCTGGCTGCTCTATATAAATCCCCTCTTCCAAATCTCCACGAAGAAATATAGTTTTGACGTCCAACTGCTCCACTTCAAGATCTAGGCTAGCTGCTAAGCTCAAAATTATTTGAATAAAAGTCATTTGACAATAGGTGAAAAAATTTCTTCAAAATCTTTGTGTTCAAAGGTTTTTACAATCAATCGAGCTTTGTATCTAACCACCTCGCCATTTCCATCTTTCTTGAGTTTAAAGACCCATTTCCATTTAAGTGGTCTTTTACCCTTTGGAAATTCAACCAGCATGTATGTGCCATTTTTCTGTAGAGATTCCATCTCTTCTTGCATGGCTTTCATCTGTTGGTTCTTTTCTGAATGAGACAGCACCTCCTTAAGACTTTCTGGCTCCCTCTCATCACTGATGAGGACATACTCTGTGGAAGGGTATTGCATGATTCTACCCTTGGCCTTTCTGATCTCCTTAGATGTTGAGGTTGTTGTTCTCCTTGAGTAGAGTGCTCCACTTGCTCGACATCATCATCAAGTTACTCCCCCTGCTCAATAACCTCATCAGGTTGCCCCCTGCTCGACAACCTCGCCAGTCATACTTTCTGTACTTGTGAGATAATTAGAAGTAGAAGGAATGGTAACAAGATTAGGGATTATACCATTCTTGGCCTTTTTGGACTGGTCATCTTTAGTTCCAACTTCACTTTCTCGGAAGACTATATCTCTGCTTCTAATGACCTTCTTATATACAAGATCCCACAATCTCCATCCGAACTCTTCATCTCCATATCCGATGAATATGCAAGGAACAAATTTATCATCCTGCTTTGTTCTCTGCTCCTTTGGTACATGTGCAACAGCTCTACAATCAAACACCTTCAGATGTGAGTAGGGCACCTCCTTATTAGTCCAAACTCTCTCTAGGATGTCAAACTTTAATGGAACTGATGAACTCCTATTGATCAGGTAACAGGCTGTTTGAACTCATTCACCCTAGAATGCTTAGGCAGTTTAGCCATTCTGAGCATGCTTCTCACCTTCTCAACAATGGTGCGATTCATTTTCTCAACTACACTATTGTGTTGTGGGTTCCAGGAACTGTATTTTCATGTCTGATCCCATGACTCGACTACTCTTCAAATTCCCTTGAACTGTACTCATCTCCATTGTCACTTCGGAAACGCTTTAGCTTTCAACCTGTCTCTCCTTTTCTACCATAGCATGAAACTTTTGGAAAACTTGAAACACTTGAACTTTGATTTTCAAGATATAAACCCATAATTTTCGTGAAACATCGTCAATAAAAGTAACAAAATATTTGTTATCGCCCATCGATTCAATTTTCATTGGACCACAAACATCAGAATACACCAAATCAAGTATATTCAATTTTCTTTCAAACAATGTCTAAAATGAGACTCTATAATGCTTACCAAATAAACAGTAGTCACAAGGTTTTACCGTTGTACCTTTGGCAAAAAAGATGAGTGATTTCCTGACAAAAATCTACAATCCCTTCTCGTTCATATGACTCATTTTTTTTGGTGCCACAAATCTGCAGAAATCTCATCTTGTACGGCTTTCAATTCACCTCGGTATATTTTTGCATTTGTCTTGTACAACGTGCCACGAGCAATTCCATTTACAATCACCAATGATCCGTTGGTGAGTCTCCATTTTTGATTTGCAAAATAGTTCTCGTATTCATCTCGGTCCAAAGCTATTCTCGAGATTAAGTTCATCCTCAAATCAAGTACATGTCGCACATCCTTTAGAACCAATGTGCATCCGACATTTGTCTTGATATAAATGTCACCGATACTCCTAATCTTTGAGTAACTCGTGTTACTCATTCTCACACTGCCGAAATCACCTGCTACATATCTGCAAAAAATTTCTCTTACCCATGTGGCGTGGTAAGATGCCGTTGTGTCAACCACCCATTCCGACTCTGAACCTGCCAAGTGCATGCATTCCTCTTCCTCATTTATAAAGAGAATAACATTATCATTAGTTTGCACCATGACAGTTATGTTGTCGTCATTCTTCCGGCTACTGCTTTCACCTTTGCCCTTCCTTAGATTTGGGCAATTTCTTTTGGAGTGACCCGGTTGATCGCAATTGTAGCAATTTCTGACTTTTGATTTGGATCGGTTCTTGGACTTCCCACGACCTACGGATCTACCATAGTTGCTCGAGCCCTTTTGGTAACTCCTGCCTCTACCTTTTGTGATGACAGTCTGTCCTTGATTTTCAGACTTCTTTCTCATCTTCTCATTGAGTAGAAGAGCCAATGTGACGTCCTTCAACTCAATAGTGGTTTTACTGTGCAGGATGGTTGTTGCCAAATTATTGTACGAAGATGGCAATGAGTTCAAAAGCAAGATGGTTTTATCCTCTTCCTCGATCTTTACTTCGAGGTTGGCAAACTGCCTGATTAGTCCATTAAACTTTTTTGAATATGACAAAAAATTTGTGCCTTCACCCATATGTAGGTCGTATAATTGATTCTTCAGGTACAATTATTTGTTAGTGTTTTGGACATGTATAGGCTTTCCAACCTTGTCCAAATGATACATGCAGTATCTTCATCAATGATGTTATTTACTACATCATCTGATAAGTGCAACCTGATTGCACTAGCAACCTTTTCATCCAAGTCAGCCCAATCCTCAGCTTTCATGGTATCAGGTTCTTGACATCACTGTCTAATACCTTGTGTAATCCTTGTTGGATGAGCAGACCCCTCATCCTTCCTTGCCATGTTGAGAAACCGCTATCTCCGTTGAATTTTACTACCTCGTACTTTACTCCGAATATTTTATTTTTTCACCGAGTATAGTACTACAGACCGTGAACAATATTTCTGTGAACGAGCAGAACCTGTGCTCTAATACCAATTATTGGGAATAAACCCCCACAGAAAATAATATTTACGGTAATAACAACAAAACAATATTGTAGTACCGAGATACGGTAATCAACAAGAATAAAAGAACAAGGACACAAAGATTTTAACGTGAAAAGCCCTTCTGAATAAGGAAAAAACCCACGGGCCCGAGAGGAGCAAAGTAATCCACTATAATGCGGAATTTTACACTCCGTAGTCCCGAGTAAATACTCCAAGAACCACTACACACTCAAAAAATATAACCCTTTAATATGATTCCTACATCACTACAATACTGCTCACACTTTATTTTTTCCCTACATACTATTTCCTATCTCACATTGTTTATGAGATTTCTTCTTCTTTGTCTTGGAATGAGAACCCAAAGGCTCCTATTTATAGGAGTGTCTAATACGAACTTCAACCAATCAGAATTGGTTTACCTATAATTTGCAATTGCAAATTGCATCTGCCAACTTGCTCTTCAAAGGCAAGTTGTCACCGCCCAAAACAAGATTTGGTGTCTGATTTCTCTTTTTTCTTTTCTTTTTCTATTTCTTTTATTTTTGGGGCTGGACCCCCATCAATTGATACTAGTTGTTGGGAATAAACCTCCTATAGAAATAATATTCACGGTAATAGCAGCAGAACAATAACGTAGTACCGAAATACGGTAATTAACAAGAATAAGGAGAACAACAAGGACACAAAGATTTTAACGTGGAAAACCATTCTGAATAAGGGAAAAAATCACGAGCTCGAGAGGAGCAAAGTAATCCACTATATGAGGAATTTTACACTCCGTAGTCCCAAGTAAATACTCCGGGAACCACTACACACTCAAAAGAAATAACCCTATATTGAGATTCCCACCCCACTACAATATTGCCCACTCTCTATTTTTCCTTATATTTTTCTATCTTTGAAATGCTTGAAGCTTCGTTGCTTCTGTGTGTTCAAAATGAGAGCCGAAGCTCTCTTTATACAGGTGAGAGCACCACCCCTTAGACCAATCAGAATGAAGGGTTGGTTTCAATTTGCATTGCGAATTGTCATTTTGACTCCCACCATTTGCCAAATCCAATTTGGCATCTTGCAAATTCCTTTTTTTTTTCTTTTTTTTTTTCCTTTTCATTATGGGAATGGACACCACGGGAATATGAAAATGAAATTTGTGAATGCAAAAGCGGTGGAGGATGAAGAGTATGAGGGGGAAGGTGGTAAGATTGGGCCATTTAGGTATCTGATACACTTTCATATGAAGAAATTGTGGATGATGCTAAAATTAGAGAAACTGGAATTCAAGAACATAGGAGGAAGGTGCTATGGTGGGGGCAGAAATGATACAAAATTTTCAAAATAGAAAGATATGAGATCTACTACCTTCACAAGATAGGAGTAAGGTCTGCGTGTATAGTACCCTCCCCAGATCCCACTTGTGGAATTTCATAGGATTTTTTATTTTTGTAGAAAGATACGAGAACACTTAAAAGATGCCTTTAACAAGGCAGGAGCAAACAAATCTTTAATATGTCAATGTAAAGACAAAAAAAGAAGTTGCAACTTTCCCCATTTTATATGATATTTTAGTACTGAAACTAATATACTTTAATAATTATTATTTTAAAGAAAATATTGAAGATTTGTGAATTGTTGGCTACTTGTCATGTCAGCTGCAGTAGAACATGCATCTGCTAGCTTCATGGTTTACCAATCCTAAAGTTGATGGCTTATTTAGTTGACAAATAGAGATTCCTGAACAAGTTAGCTGGGGCAGAATTGAACCTTAGAGTACAAATCTTTGGAGGGGATGATATGAGTTGAATGTTGATATTAATGTAGCAGAAAGATGTGGTTGAATTAAAGATCTGTGAAAACAAAGGCTCATGGTGGGTAGTACTATTATAAAGAAATAGTTTCGCTCCTTTAAAGCAACAAATGATGCAAAGAGAAGGACCATCTCTTATAGAAGCAATGCAATTTAAAGAAACATGCACTCTCAAACAGTAAGATGACGATTCAAGCTAGAGCAGTCACTGCATTGAATCCAACTTTAAAAGAGAAAAAATAGGGTAGATATATTGTATTATGACTCTTCTTTAGGTGCATTGTAGTCTTCCTTAACTGTTCCCTTGTTTCTTCTTCTCTGTTTTGCAACGACTCCTCTTTACTACTTATATTTTGTTGCCCTTTTTAATTTGCTTCTTTTTACATTAGTCTACAGATGCTGCATGTAAAATAGATTGGTAGAAGAAAGACAGAAGTGATGGAGATTGTTTCTGACTCTAACACAAGTGATGCTGATAATCAAATCCAAACTAGGGATTCTTTGGTTAATCCTTTATCGGGAAATAGTGCCAATAAAAATCTAGAAGATCTCATCTTGGGCCTCGATGATGACTTGGCCATAATCAAGCGAAGACTGACTGGACAGGAAAAGGCTCTTGAAATTGTCACGATAACTGGTGCGGGTGGTATTGGCAAAAGTACACTCGCCAAACAAGCTTATGATTGTCTTGAAATCAAGCAACACTTTGATATTCGTGCTTGGGTTACAATATCTCAAGATTTTCGAAGAAGAGATGTGTTGTTGGCTGCTTTACATTGTATATCGAAGCAAACAAATATTGTCTATGGAAAAGGTCACAATAAAAAGGGTGATGATGAGTTGTTAGATAACATCAATGAAGGAAGTGACAGTGACTTAGTCAACATGCTGCAGAAAAAGTTAAAGGATTATGACGATAGTCAATTAGCTGACCTGGTGCAAAAAAACTTAAAGGGTCGACGGTACCTTGTTGTTATTGATGATATTTGGAGTACGGATGCTTGGGATTGCATACAAGGGGTATTTCCTAATGGAAATTATGGGAATCGTGTCTTATTGACAACTAGGGAGAGAGAGGTGGCTACATATGCAAATCCTTCTACACCTCATCAGATGAACCTCTTGTCTTCGGATAGCAGTTGGAAGTTACTTCGTAATAAGGTGTTTGGATCAAAAGTTGACCACCTTGATCCTGAGTTGGAAAAAATTGGAGACCGAATAGCAGAGAAGTGTCAAGGACTACCCTTAACAATTTCAGTGATTGCAGGACACCTCTCTAAAATTCCCAAGACAGTAGAAAGTTGGAAGGCTGTTGCCAAAACTATGAGTGCAATCATTGCTCGTAATCCAGATAACTGCTTAGGAGTGTTGGGCTTGAGTTACCATTACTTGCCCGAGCCCCTCAAATGTTGTTTTCTCTCTATGGGTACTGCTTTTCCGGAGGATTTTGAGGTTGAGGCTTGGAGATTGATTCAGTTATGGATAGCTGAGGATTTTATAAAGCCTGAAAAACCTAAGAGGTTGGAGGAAGTGGCAAAAGATTATCTGGACGATCTTATCAGCAGAAACTTGATAATGGTTAATAAGAGGAGATTGACTGGTGAGACAAAAACATGCGGAGTTCATGATCGTCTGCATGAATTCTGTTTGATTGAAGCTAAAAAGACAAATTTCATGCATGTTGTGAGACGTGGTTTCTATAGCAGCAGCACTGCTTATGAAACTAGTGATTCTAGTGTTCAAAGCTTCAGTTTTCGTACTAAAGCTCATCTAAATATGTGCCACAATGCGACCAGATCTTTATACTTTTTTGGTGAATTTATAACTTCTCCATCACCTTCTCCAAAATCTAGCATACATTTCAAACTTCTCAAGGTACTAGCCATCTTCCGTCATGATATGTTCTCTTCATTCCCAATTGAGATAACAAATTTGGTTAATCTGAGATATCTTGCAGTTGCCTCCCACGGTGATCCTCCAGAATCAATCTCAAAGCTGCGAAAGTTGCAAACTTTAATATTTACCAACTTAGTGGGATTTGCAAACTTACCCGTGAAGATATGGAAGCTAACGGATTTGAGGCATATCCGTGTGAACAGATGCAGTTACTTGTGTAGTCCAAGTACCGCAGGACTTCATAAAACAAAGATGTCAAATCTTGAGGAATTTTCTACTCTATGTTTCTCCAGCTGTACAAATGAAATCTTCTCTGCCATTCCCAATTTAAAGAGATTGAGTATTCGTCAAACTTATTCAGAAAGTCTAAAATGTGCTCTCAGGAACACCGACCACTTTCTTGATATGTCCATCTTAAGGAAACTTCAAGCATCAAAATGTTTCTTCTATGTACACTATCGATGTTCCCTTAGGAGGTACATTTTTCCAACATGCCTTAAGAGGTTGACTTTGAAAGGGAGTTATTTGCCTTGGGAAGAATTGTCAAGTCTTGTCGTATTGCCAAATCTTGAAGTGCTCAAGCTTAAAAATTGTAAACGCGATGATCAGGTATGGAGTTTAAAAGATGATGAGGAGTTTGCTAGGATAAAGTTGTTGCTAATTGGTAATACAAAATTAAAACGTTGGGAGGCTTGCAGTGATTGCTTCCCTATGCTACAAAGCCTAGTCCTCAAGGATTGCACTGAACTGGAAAACATTCCAGAGGATTTTGTAAATAGTTGTTTGTTGGAGTCAATTGAGTTATATGATTGCAGCACTTCTGCTGCTGATTCTGCAAGAAGCATTGCACAAGAGAAACAAGAAATGGAAGGAAATGATAGCCTCAAGGTCCACGTCAATAAAACTCGCAGTAAGTGTTTTGACCAATCTGTAAAATTCATCGATCTTTACATGTATTCTTTGTTAGATTTTTACATCCTTGAAGAATAATCTTTCATCCTGCAGGGAGCTGAAGCTTATTTTGAAGAGCAATGGGATGATATCTTCAAAATGCAAAATCTGTTCTTGTCTGAAAATTAAAGTTGTTCTTTTTGTGTTGTAATCATTCCTTGTATTCGTTGTGCGTTTGGAATAAAGACATGCAGTACATGTCTCATCCGTTTCAGATCCAGTATTTTGTAATAAGCTCTGCAGAATGATAACTGTTAATGCACTCTAATATTGCTGCTGATGAGCACTAAAGTTGATTAATTATGTAAAAGTATTTCAGGAATGTGACACTCAGTACTACTGGACGATAGTCGATACCCCTTGTATTCATTTCATTTCTCTTAAGGCTTAGTACATACTTTACTCCTCCAACTTGTACAGAAATTCCCTTTCACACACTTATTCTTTGTGGTCATCCTTTTACACATCTTAATTTGCAAGATCGGTTTACTGGTGCATTTGCCTATATATTTTGGCACTTCTTAGAAAGAAGTTCTGCTGGTATTTATGGCTTTTGCTACTGTTCTTAATCAGGTTTGCCAGTGTCGTGCAGTTTTTGGTTTGAGGTTGTATTTCTGCTGAAAGTGTGGAGTCCTTGAGCTGATGTGTTGCAACTAAAGACATAGTTTTGATCGTTGCGGACCCTTTTTTTTATGGCTGCTGAAGTGTATAGTTTGAAGCTGAGAGATTATCCAATGTAGTGGAGATTATCTTCAGTTTGGTGATCTCTCTCCTTTAATGGTTGAAGAGTTGAAGAGAGAGATTAGAAATGCAGTCAATGAAGAAAATGTGATACTAGAAATCATGGAGTGTCAAAACTAGTAAAAGAAGGCGACATGAAAGGGCCCTACTAAAGTGTGAGGATGCAATAATTGACCTATACCCATATGGGCATAATATGTAGGACCCAAACACCACTAAATTCATTCTTACAAACACGTGAAGAATAGAAAAAGGCTTAGCCTTTGGACATTTCTCATGACTATTCAAGACCTAATAGGAGTATCCGATAACCACCATTTAAACTTCTTTAATAGGAAAAGAGAACAAAGTCAAAGCGGATTAAAAAAAAGAGAGAGAACACGTTCGAATGGTCACTAGGTATCTTTTCAAGTTTCAAAAATGGTCACAGTTCACCTTCCAGTTCCATTTTGTTCGTGAGATCTGGTCTTATGATTTCTCAAATTCTCCTTTTATTAATTGATGATGTCCATCTCATTGAAGAAGTATTAGGTATGTGCCTAATAAGAGTTTTCTTTGGTTTGGTAGCCAACCTTGTTGACTTGGTTTGGTTGGTAGCCAACCTTGTTGAATTTCTTTGGTTTGGTAGCCAACTTTGTTGAATTGTGAAAAATGTGTGTAAATTGTCAAATATTGTAGGCTTTAGAGGGTGAAGCTTTGGCTATAAAAGGAGAGCTTCAACTCTCATTTCTTCACACCAACAAAGAGAGAAAGAAAGAGTGAGGTTTCACAGACAAGGTATAAGAAAATAGTCTGTGAGGAAAATAGAGAGTGAGCGATATTGTAGTGAGGTGGGAATATCAAAAGAGGGTTATTTCTTTTGAGTGTTGTAGTGGTCTTTGGAGTATTTA